GGTTCAACGAACACTGGTACCCCGAGAACCCCCTCAAAGGACAGGCGTACAGGTAAGGAGGTGTGATCAGCGGAGGGCGGATCGCCGAGGGGGGTGGTCGCACTACAGTACAGTACAGTACAGGGATCCTGACGGGTTTTTTTGCCATCTTCTGGGCATGGAGCAGAGGTCCATGCCCAGAGGTCACTGGGGGTGTGGGGGGTAGTTGTGTATTTCCTGCATTGTGCAGGGGGTTAGACTAGATTTTTCTCCAGGTCAGTTTGGCTGGAGATCCTGGTTTTTGTCGTCTTCTGGGTGTGGAGCAGGGGTCACTGAGGGGTATGGGGCGGGAAGTATTTGTGGATTTCCTGCATTGTGCAGGGGGTTGGACTAGATGACCCTGGAGGTCCCTTCCAACTCTATGATTCTGTGATCCCCGTGTAGAAGAGGTGGGGTATAGTCTGCGACGGTGCTTTGCCCATCAGTGAGATTCGAACTCATCATAACACTGCCATCACATGATGCTGGTCCATTAGTGACAAAGGCCCCTTTGGTTGGTCTGAAAACCTGCTGTGAAACCCTGAGTTTTATTTTTTAAATTTACTTCATTTATACCTTGCTTTCTTCCCAACGGGGACCCGGAACAGCTTGCGTTGTTCTCCTCCGTTTTATTCTCACAACAGCCCTGTGAGGTAGGTGAGGCCGAGAGCGTGTGACTGGCTCAAGGTCACCCGGCGAGCTTCCATGGCAAAGCGGGGATTCGAACACTACACTGCACTGGTTCTAAACACAAAGGAAGGGTGTTGTAACTGTATGAGAAATTGGCTCAAGCTGCTTGTGTGGAAGGCCTGACGCTGCCTTTGTCGGTAGTTTTGGAAGAAGGGGAGGCGGGTTGCTTTGTGTTCCCCCCGGGGGCAGGCCCACAAGGGAGGGCTCCTTTCTCTGCAGGGACTTATCAGTTGTAGCGCATCAGCACCTCCCAGAACCACCGTCATGGGTTGGTTTAGGGGGCTTAGCGTCCTTAAAAAAGGTCCCCCGCGCACTGGGTTCGTTTTAACGCAGCGGCTTTCTGTACAGCGTGAAGGAGGATCACTCTCTGTAACTGGTTCTTGCTTTCCCGGATTTAAAGCAGAGAGCCGAGTTCGAGTCCAGGTGGGGGCCGGGTAAGTGTTCATTGGCCCTCCCCTCTCCGCCTTTTCTTAAGGCTGTTCCGATTCCAGCTTGTGACCCTGACGGGGAACGGAAAAAAGAATCATAAATCCCCCCCCCCCCCAAAAAGAGGCCGGGGATTCCCTTAATAACTTGGAAATTATTTCTCACTTCCTTCAGGGTTGCCCAAAAAGCACCTATATTGAGGTTTGGGGAATTGATGAGCTCAGAATTAATTGGTGAAAAAGCACCTCTTGTAGTTTATGTTTTGAGCGGCACCCTTTGACTCTTGTTAGAACTGGAATCCACCTAGAAGCCGGTCTGCATGCGGAACCCCAGTTTGGATCATTTTGATGTGTATATTCCCTTCTCTTTATTTCTCCTATTTTTTTGCAAGGGGGGGGGCATATTGGTATATCCAGCATTCCTTCTCCCCAGAGAGCTGTAGGGAATAAGGTTTATTTAGCATATTTTTTCACCTGCTATTTCTGCATGGAACTTGGGATGCCGAATACCACACTCTTCCTCCATCGTTATCCTCACAACAGCCCTGTGAGGTAGGTCAGGCTGAGAGAGAATAACTGGCCCAGAGAACTTCTGTGGCAGAGTGGGGGATTTGAACTTGGGCTGTTCAAATCATAGTGAGGAGGAGGAGGAGGAGGAGATTGTATTTATACCCCGCCCTTCACTACCTGACTGAGTCACAGAGCAGCTTACAATCTCCTTTCCCTTCGCCTCCCCACAACAGACACCCTGTGAGGTCAGTGGGGCTGAGGGAGCTCTCTTGAGAACTACTCCTGAGAGAACTTGTGACTGACCCAAGGTCACACCAGCAGCTGCATGTGGAGGCATCAAACCCAGTTCTCCCAGATTAGAGTCAGGCCCTCCAACCACTCCCCTATGCTGGCTGACCAAAGAACACTGCCCCTTTCTACTTCCTGGCACTATTTTCTAGCAGTACTTTCGTCTGGGTTGTTGGTTGTGTCTCAGCTCTTGGGGGCACTTCCATGGATCCTTCAGACGTTGCCAACTCTGGATTGGGAAATACCTGGAGATTTTGGGGGTGGGGAAGGCAGGGTTTGGAGAAGGGTGATACACTCAGCAGTGTATCATCCCATAGAGTCCACCCTCCAAAGCAGCCGTTTTTCTCCAGGGAAACTGGTCTCTGCGGTCTGGAGATCAGTGGTGATTCCAGGAGATCACCAGGTCCCCACCTGGAGGTTGGCAACTCTGTCCGGTCCCTCCTGCTCTTTGTCTTTAGCTATACCAACAGAGAGGGTGTCGTTCACGCCAGAAACTGCAGCCAGGGGGCGCCAGATTCTGTGTTTGTTCCAAGAATTCTGGACTACTAGATTAAAGTTCCTGTTTTTTTAGAAAGAGGGAGGGGCCCGCAGCAATCACGTTCGGCCGCTGTCCGTGTGCCGCAGCACGGCAGCAGACGGCCGTTCAGACGCTCTCAACTTTGTCCCGAAGTGCCCGGCAGACCAGTGATCTAATGCCCCTTCACGGAGGGTATTGTTTCCAGAGCAAGCTGTGAAAATAGCCGTATTGTACCTCTCAGGGCTGTTTGTATAGCTGATCCTGACACCGTTTGCGCAGCATTTGGCTGCTGGGTCTGTGTGTGTTGCTTCCCTGTAGGTCAGAGAGGTCTGCTGTGGGTGTGTGTGTGTGTGGGGACCGCCCGAGGCCGGCTGGATCAGTCGATTATTACCCAGCAATTCTATTGTGCTTGTGTACACAGAGGTACGCGATTGAGAACACTGTACAGTACATCATGTACCTGAGTGTACATACTCTACTAAGTGTAGACACTGGTGCTGTAATTCCTTGGGAGTAAGTTCTTCGGGGCCCTGACCTGAACGGCTCAGGATAGCTTGATCTCATCGGATCTTGGAAGCTAAGCTGAGTTGGCCCTGATAAGTGCCTAGATGGGCGACCCACCAAGGAAGACCAGGCAATGGCAAAGCGCCTCTGACAGTCTCTTGGCTCGAAAAGCCCATGGAGTTGCCCTAAGTCGACGGCAACTTTACGGCACTTTCCACCACCAAGTTCTTCAGGGCCTTAATCCTAAACGTGGGAAGGGAGAGAGGGAATGTCTCGTATTATTAGGTCTTGGGGATCACCTGGTGAAACGGATGGGCCGTTAATTCAAGACGGGCAATGCAAAGCCCTTCTCACAGTGGATGTACGGAACTCGCTGCCACAAGAAGTGGGTAGCGTCCATCGTTATCCTCACAACAGCCCTGTGAGGTAGGTCAGGCTGAGAGAGAATAACTGGCCCAGAGAACTTCTGTGGCAGACTGGGGGATTCGAAGCTGGGTTGCTCAGATCCTAGTGAGGAGGAGATTAAAGGAGTCACAGAGCGGCTTACAATCGCCTTTCTCTTCCCCTCCCCACCACAGACACCCTGTGAGGTAGGTGGGGCTGGGGTGACTTTTGGGGGGAAAAGATCAGGCAGTCTCACAACCTATTTGCGGCTGTTACCTGTGAGCAGTGTTCCCTCTAAGCCGAGTTAGTGTGAGCTAGCTCACAGTTTTTTAGCCTCCAGCTCACAGATTTTTGTCTCGGCTCAGGAAGGAGGGCTCCAGAGCCAACTAGTTGATGCAGCAGCCAAGTCGCTCGCTCACGACTTTCGTGCCGGTAGCTGATAAAACAGAATTTTTGCTCACAAGACTCCACAGCTTAGAGGGAGCCTTGCCTGTGAGGGCTAAATTTATTGATTTAATTTACGGGAAATGTTTTATGCCGCCTTTCCACCCGATCGGGGTTCCCTAGATGGCGGACATAAAAACATTGAACAATTAAAAAGAACATTTAGAATGACAAAATATTTCAGTAAAAACACATAAACACCACCAGAACCAGGGGGGTGGGGCAGGCGGGCAATAACCGTTATTGGGGGTATGCCAAACAAAACAAAAAAAGTCTTCATGAAAAGTCAAAATGAAGCCTCCATAGTCAGAAGAAGTATACCTTTGAATACCAACATCTTATGTGGCTTACATGTATGTATCCTGGAAGTGTCTGGTATTATATTACAAGGTAAATCTCGGTCCTCATTCATCCTATTAAAGACCAATGCAACTGCTTCTCCTCCAGTTCTGTCAACATTCAAAACAGTTGAAAGACACCAACTTTCTTTCTTGTCTTCTTACACTTTTGAAGTAAACTTGCATGTTTAAAACACAAGTGTACACAACATTTTGTGTCCAGTGTTTAAAGAATTAAGGAAATGTTGGCGAAAGTTGGATATTTTTGTCTGGGTATGTTGCAGCCCTGTTTGATCAGTCAAAAGAGATCTGGAAGGCGTATTATGGTAGTGTGGTGTAATGGTTAAGAGTGTTGGGCCAGGAGACTTGGCCTTGAATCTCTCATTGAGACATGAAACTCAAGTCTTTCTACATCAGCAAAGTCTACCTTGCAGGGTTGTTATGAGGGGGTAAACCCTGAGCTCCCTGGAGGATGGGAGAGAGTCAGTAATGGTGTAGGGGTTAAGATACTGGGCTAGAATCTGGGAGGCCAAGGTGGAAATCCCCCACTCTGCCATGGAAGCTTACTGGGTGACCTTTGGCCAGTCAGGCCAACCTCACAGGATTGTTGTGAGGCTAAGCTGAGGAAGGGGAAAGCCATGTACTCTCCTTGGAGACGGCAGGATTAAAATATACCAGAGATTGAACCATCACTAATTTTTTTAATGAATCTACTCGCTGTTCCCAAGATACTTCTTGCTCTAGATCTGGGGTGTCAAACATAAGGCCCGGGGGCCGGATCCGGCCCATCCAGGGCTCTTATGCGGCCCGCGAGCAACTGATGCAAGGGAGGGAGTGTAGGGGGGAGTGGGTGGAGCCACTCCGATTGTGGCTTCAGCATGGCAGAACAACCTCATCTGCAGCAGTCACGCATTGTGGGGGCGTCTGCCCAGTGCTGCAGTACTGCCTCTCCAGTCTGCCTATGTCGGTTTTCCTCTGTACCCCGCTCCCAGCCCATGGGGCCTTGCAGTGAGGATACACCAACTCAGAGCTTACCAGCTGCTGTCCTTTATACTGTTTCTGTCTCCAGTACCTGGCATGACATTTTATGGCACACATGGCCTGACACAGTGACATTTATGTCAGATCTGGCCCTTGTAACAAAGCCCTGTTTCAACTCCCCTCCTCCCACTCAGGTGCATCCGGATCAACAGATGGCAAAAAGTGGACGATTCCCTGCTGAAAGCTTGCACGGATTGCGGTCTGGATTATTCGGAGCTGGCGTTGCCCCGGGAAGTCTCGATCTGGATTGACCCTGGCGAAGTTTGCTGCCGGTGAGTGCACTGAACATTGAATGCCTTTCTCATGGGAATGGGTTTATAGCACCACTCTGTGATAAATACAGATGTTTGTCCGTGGCTGGAGCAGTGCTGTGTGATGGCACGGATTTCCATCAGAGTCTAACTCCATGGGAGACCCTTTGGTTTTGATTACAGGGTCCTTTTTGGTGGCGTAAGATTCAGAGGAGACAAGGTCATGCTCTGAGTCCTTTAAATGCAAGTTGCAGCCTCAGTTGGCCTCAGGGCTGTGCAGGTCAACATAACAGTCTTGCAAGATTGTGGCTCAGTATGGGTGACCGCACATCAGCACCTGACAAGGGTTTAACTCGGAGGCAGACCCCCTTTGCTCTTGCTTACAGCTCCTTGTTCTGGCAGAGGGCTCAGAGGAAGCAAGATCATACTCTGGGTCCTTTAAATGCGGACTGCAGCTCGATTGGCCTCAGGGCCGTGGAAGCCAATATAGCAATCTTGCACGACTGTGGCTCACTATTGGGGGGGGGGTCACGTGTGAAGTAGAAACATGCAAATTCAAAAGGGGGGGGGGCTTTTTCTGATGCTGTTTCCTGAATTTAAGGGCATAAGAAGAGCCCTGCTGGATCAGACCAGTGGTCCATTGAGTCCAGCATCCTGTCTCACACAGCAGCCAACTAGTTCCTCTGGAGGGCCAACAACAGGGCATAGAGGCTAAGGCCTTCCTCTGATGTTGCATCCTGGCTCTGGGATTCAGCAACTTAGTGCCTCTGAATGTGGAGGTTCCCCTTAGTCCCCATGGCTAGTAGCCATTGATAGACTTATCCTCCATGAATCTATCTCATCCCCTTTTAAAGCTGTGTATTCCTGTGGCCATTGCTACATCCCCTGGCTGCAAATCCCACATTTTAATGTGTAAAATAGTCCTTAACCCACAGCCCAAAGGTTGCCCAGATAACTCCTGCATTGAGCTGCTGTAGATCTAAAGGAAAGGAATGAGGTTCCTTGCAGTGTATTCTTATAGGCTGCATGGCCTGGATGGGCAGAGGCACCTTTGAACTTCTGCCTGTTAGAGTATCTTCAGGTCAATTCTCCACGGAAGTACCCATGGTCTAACGTCTACCCACTCCGTCCCCATCAGGCTGGGCGAGAACAACCAATACTTCAAGGTCAAGAATGAAGAGGGAAGCAGCGGCAAAGCATCGCCAGAGCTGGAGACGTCCGACTACCATTCCGAATCTCCCTCGGAGTGTTCGTCGGAGGACGAGGGGCCGAGGAAAACTGCGGCAGCAACGCCAGCCACGCCGAGCAAAAACCGGCCTACTGGAAGCAGTTTTACCAAGCAGGTGAGGGGAGCAGGTTCCGAATCACACCATTTTGTTTTCATTTATCCAGAGGTCATTTCGGGGGGGATCGCGGGGGATCGCAGTTCCCCCGGGTGAGGCACGGGGGGCGGGGCACATGACGAAGCCCCGCCCCCCGCTTCCGGCCGCCCCGCTT